CATCACCTCTGCCGGCCTGGCTTCCAGCCAGCTCCCCGCTCCCCTCAGAAATGTGGGAGAAGAGTTGGGATCGCCCCTTTGGTTCTCCAAGGATGGTGTTCAATGCCAGCACATCTTCAAACAGCCTCACTAATACTATTAGCATTTGCTTTCCCTTTGCCCGAGGACTGGGCCACCCCAGGGGAAAGGTTGTCCTGGATTTAATGGGTTTAGAACTAGTCCAGTTATGAGCATCAAAACTCTTCGCGATGAGCGTATTGGAGCACTGCTGGGCGCCGATCAAATGATGCACTTGAAAAAAAGAGATAAACCTTCCTCTTGCCTCTCCCACTTTCCCCAAAGCCAGAACAATTAAAGCGTATGAAGCTGAACAGATGATGGATAAGCAACATTAAAATACACACAGGGAAACTGATTGCGTTGACCGTGGGTTAATGAGTGCCTTACAAAATCATTCCTTATTGCTTATTTTATGCCATCAAATTACCTTCATAAATAGCCTTAAAATTCATCTCACAGCAATTTTGTACAATTATAATGGGAGAAGAGGAAGAATTACTCTTCCTTCCTGCTGCACTGCAAAACTAATAAAAGGGCCGTGATCCCAGCCCTGGGAATCTTGCTGTCTATATGGTAGACTATAAGCTCATAATGTGCAGCAGAACAAGGAGGTTCCAACACTACAGGCACTTGTTGGCAGAGCTGTTTCATCCCATTGTGTGAACAGATGTGATCTTTGACTAACATCACTGTGGTGGTGAACGTCCCCTATTACGCTGGCAAAGCTGTCCTTTCACCGAAGTAGCCCGTTTCATGTGCACGGGTCTGGTGTGACCATATCATACGATACAGCTTTGTTGTCACAGCTGTGGTCCTCCTGCAAAGGAGTGCTTTGCCAACACAGTGTATTGGTCTTCCTAAATTGTGGGGTGTGCTCCTTATGTAGAACTGGCTGGAAGAGGCTGGAATGAAGTGCCTGCATAATTCTTCAGTTAAGTATTTATCCAGAGCGTCTATCTAGAATTTCAGGGCTTTGTTCTGTTTCATTTTTTTGTAAAAGAATATCGGCCGGGTATTTCCACGATGCTCAGATGGAGAAGGCTGTTTGTCTTTGGAGCCCCTTCATGTCTGCCCCACTGAAGGAGCTGATGTTTGTCTTCTTGTTTTCCAGAACTGCTTGAGGAGGAGGGACGCCGGCCTATTAAATCAGTTACAAGAGCTAGATAAGCAAATAAGTGATCTCCGCCTGGACGTGGAAAAAACGACAGATGAACACCTTGAGACAGACAGTCGTCCAAGTTCAGGTAAGGCCAATATTCAGCAAAATGGAGCCTCCCTTGGTCCCTGGAATTAAACTGGCTGTAGTTTTCAGTACTACAACAGTAAATGTCTATAGCATGTTCACACTCTGATAATTAATGCCTACTAGCAAAGTTCACCTACCGCTGGAAAGGTTGCTGTTTGTAGACAACATATTCGGAGGAGTATTTCAAGCTTAATTAGATTTTTAGTGTTTGGCCACCCACAAGTTAGTTCAAAAAGTTCTAGTTCTCCTGCATATTAGGAAGGAGGCTGCAGAAAAAATGGTGAAAGGAAGGACCACCAGCAGGAGGAAGATGTCAAAATTGATCTTACAGCCAGAAGGGAACATTGAATCAAACAATTTGATCCCCTGTATATTGAATTTCATCCCATTCTAACTGTGTTGAAGCCAGTAAGTGGTACTTAACTATGCGGAATCTTTCCTAGAGGCATCTAGACTTGTTGTGAAGGCACTAAAAAGTGGAGAATCCACCAACTTGCAATTGTTAAAACCATTGCTAATTTCTAATTTGAATTTTACTTGTTCCAGCACTGATTTTATTATATGCTTTTCTCCCATAGAGTAAGGTCTTTTCTAGTACCAAGCTTTTTCTCCTCTTGGAGGTGCTATACAGTATAATTCCTGACTTTTTTCGATGAGCTAAACAGGTCAAGTTCATTAAGTCATTTGTTTTAAGGCATTTTTCCAAGCTCTTAAATAGCTTTATGGCCCCTTTCCAATTTTTTAGCTTTTTTTTAAGCATGCTGGATTTGAGGACTAGGCACACCGTGCCAATGTCTTTCTTACCAGTGCTGTATAGACTGCAGAAGTCATTTCCCTACTGCTATTCATTAGTCTCTTTGTACATCCAACAATCTCATTAGCTTTTTTTGCCATATCATTAAGCTTGATTGAGCTGCTTTTCCATGCTGACTAAGTCCTTTTCAGGATTATTGTTTTCTAGGATGCATCCCCATTCTGTAGACATGCCCTGGATTCCTTATTCCTAAATGTACAATTTAAATTTTGATTATGGTATGTCATATTTTTCTCGGCTAGTCCCAGTTTACCAGGAAATTACATTTTCTGTGTCTGCACATTATTTACCATTTTCCTTCTTTCATGTCATCCACAAATACTATATTTATCTCCAGAACTTTGAGGAAAATAATGGATAGCACTGGACCCAACACTTGGTAAAAATTTTGTAGTCAAGTAATAGCTGGAGAGTCTGTCTTGGAAGTATAATACACTATTAAATGAGCGGGCTGTCAAACACAGCCTGGATCCTTCTAGCTAAAATCTGAAAAGCCCTGTAAAGGGTAAAACCCCAACCCTTGTAAAGGTTAAAAAAAAAAGTTCAAAATTTCATATACTAAGTAAAGTTCTGCTTTTTTACTTTTAAGTGCTTTACTTTTAAACGGAATCCTTCATAGCAATACGGATATTACTAAATTGTGCACTGTTTTTTGGGTGGCTGAATGAAATCCCGTAACTAATTGCAACAGAGTAAGCCAACATAAACATGAGCTTTGCTGCCTTTCTAGGGACACAAATGGTAACTTTGTGTAGACATAACTAATATAAATCCAAACTCTTATTTTTATAGGGTTTTATGAGCTGAGTGATGGAGCTTCTGGATCGCTCTCCAATTCATCTAACTCTGTCTTCAGTGAGTGTTTATCCAGTTGCCATTCTAGCACTTGCTTTTGCAGCCCTTTGGAGGCAACACTGAATATCTCAGATGGACGCCCTAAATCTGCAGGTATAGTAAAAGCAGGTCGAATACATCATACTCCAGGAGGTGGCTTTGGCTTTGGAAATACTGCCTCAGGAGTATCTGGGTTGGATTAACCCTTCTTCCTTTCATTTGATGTATTGTGCTCTGTATTGTGCTGTGAAAAGATTCCAGTGCTTATCACGTACATGGGTCACGAGGCAGGACCGTTTGCCCTCCACTAGTCCAGCCTTACATGTGAATATGTCACTCCAAACGCATGAAAAGAACATGTGAAAATATGACAGCTGCTCTACCCAGTAGAGGGCAGTGGTACCTATACACATAAACACGTTAGTCAGCTAATTTCTCATGGTTTCCTTTAGAAAAGCATTTTTACTAAATAGCAATAATGAAAGATACCTCAACAGCCATGTCCTCATTAAAGTGACAGAGCAAGGAGCTAGCTACAGGTTTTAGGAGATCAGGGTGCACGTCAGTCTGTTTGTAGCAGTCATTTTGTCACCTCTGATGGTCCTCAACCCCTAGGTGACCATGCTGAGGCGTGTCCTGCATTTATATAGGATACACAAACAGACATCGTGAACAGCGAAAAAGTATTTTGTCTCTTTGGCGGAGAGCTGTTGACTTTCCTTGGACTCTAGGCTGAAGATGCAAGCCTTAAGTGTGGAACGGCTAAACAGGAGGGTGGCCTCTGTCTGTTTTCCAGAAAGGACGCTTCGGTAGGACTTTTGTGATCAAGCGTTACTGGTTGCAGCCATACTCATTCAAAAGCCTTAGTTCGTTCTGGGTTGTGGAGGATGTTCCTAACCATAGTATTTCCAATTTCCATTCTGCTCTTTATGGTTAGCTTACAGTGATTTTTTTGTGAATCGAAGACAAAATAATTCAAGTTCTTCTAACTCTGAAGTGGGAGAATACAGCCTGGGATACATTCATTCTGAGATGCTGAGAAGTCCTCTAAGTTATCCTTTGAGCAGCTTGGGGTAATTTAATGCTCCCTGTTGTAAGGTATATGTGATCTTCATCAGCCATACATAAAAAGAAAAACATCCACAAGGATTTCCAGCAGATTGCATTGCTGTTTTTTTCTGTATACATCATGAAAACCTAAAACTCTTACTATTCGTACTGTCTCACTTTTAGAGATGAAATTTCACAAACTGGCATGTTTCAAAGAAGTGTTTTTGTCAACAGTTCCTGACTCCAACACAGAATTTAGGAAATGTGGGAAAACTGTGAGGTTATCTGGAGGAAGTTCATGCTCCTAACTTCCCTGTTCTTCCTCTCCTGCTCACACAGGAACATCATCTCTATCAGCTAATTTCATCAACGTCTGTGAGACCTCTTTTGAAATAAGCCTTAGATAAGTGATGAGCACTGAGCATTCAGATTTGAGTACCCTGGCTGAAGTTTCTAGCCCAAGGGTAGAAAACAGGACTGACGGTGATCTAGAAGGATCATTTAGATTGTACCCCTACCCAAGAAGACAAAGGCAACATAAGCTTAAGAAAATAATAATCATAGGTGCTTGGATTGAAGCCCTGCTCCTAAGGTCGCTTACCTCCCAAGTAAGTGCCTTAGCCATTAAATCTGACTCATGCATCCTGAAACGCACTGGATTTCTCTTACAGAACTCTCTTTGCAGAGCCAAGGCTAGGATGTCAGCTGGATTGACCTGCACTCCTTGTACTTGTGTGGAAAGATGAGCTTGTTTCCCATTCTTTAACACTTTATTGCTCAGAAGGAGCATCTGTTATTGTTACTAGCATTATTATAATTATAAAATAATTATGATGATAATAATAGTAACAATAATAATAACAACAACAAAATTAAATCTAGATTTTTTTTGACCCAAGATACGCTTGAGAAAATCTGGAAATGAAATTTGTCAGTAAGCTAAAAGAATTCATTGGACTCTTGGCTATATTTTTTATATTTCCCTTTGGATTTAGCAAAGTAAAATATAAAATTCCTTTGTGCTGAGACCCGCAGTGAGTTTTAGAATCATAGAATCATAGAATCATTAAGGGGAAAAGACCTCTAAGATCATCAAGTCCAACCGTCAACCCAACACTACCATGCCCACTAAACCATGTCCCTAAGCCCCTCATCTACATGTCTTTTAAATACTTCCAGGGCTGGTGACTCTACCACTTCCCTGGGCAGCCTGTTCCAAGGCTTGACCACTCTTTCAGTAAAGAAATTTTTCCTAATGTCCAATCTAAACCTCCCTTGGCACCTTTAGAGGTGCCTGTGTACCATGTAAACAAAAGAGACCCTTACAGACTTCTGGGTGGCTTGGAAGTAAAATAGGAAGCTCTTAGCAACCTAGGCACAGGTTTGAGACCAAAGTAAATGTTCTCATTAGGGCTGTGATTTTTATTTTTTTAACCATGTAGTCATATTGGGGCAAATCTTACATAGACGCAGTTACAAAGAGACCCACAGAAGAATAGTGCTGCTTTTATATCGCTTAAATGGCATCCCTGGTTGCAAGGTTTCTACTGGTTGAACAGCACTGCTGTTGTATAAACATTGCCTCGTATGTGTAGATGGGACCGGAGTCCTTGACGGCACGTGAAAAACATAGCAGAACTGTCCCTGGCAGGCTCTCTAAACTCTTCTAAAATGCTTTTCAGATCTCATAGGCTGGATGGACTATAATAAGGAAGGCCAGCATGAGGACCAGACCGCAGGCTCTGTCTGTCGCTCTTTGTCCACACCGCACTCAAATTCCCTCGATGTCGTTGCAGATGTACATCCAAAGTACCAGTGCGATCTGGTGTCTAAAAACGGGAACGATGTCTACCGGTACCCCAGCCCACTCCATGCGGTAGCTGTGCAGAGTCCCATGTTTCTTCTCCCCGTGACTGAAAACCCCCAGCGAGAAGAAGAGAGGCTTGGTTGTGATATTAGCGACGTTTGCGCCGGATCTGAAACGGACTCGGGAAAATCCGCCAACGCCTTTCTCCCGCAAGGCTCCTGGCCGGCGCCGTGCCCTTCCACCAGCAAGAGGATAGACGGTTACATCTTAAGCCTGGTTCAGAAAAAGACTCACGCGGTAAGGACTAACAAACCGAGGACGAGTCTCAACGCCGATCCCACCAAAGGGATCTTGAGGCATGGAAGCATGTGTGTCAGGCAGCCTGCAGGGGTGGTGGCTCACGGTAACGTCGTGAACCTGAAGAGCTCCAAGCAAGCATGCTTGCCTTCTGGTGGGACCACCGCTCTGGACCACGTGGCACCCTCTCCGTTAAAGCAGAGGCCGAGGGAGCCGCCCGGCGAGCAGCTGGAGAGTAGGAAAGCACCTTTGCCGGCGGCTTTCCCGCCCGGCGCGGCGAGCGAACTTCAGAGCAAGCACCTCCCGCGGGGCGCCAAACCGGCACCTCCGGAGCTCGGCCGCAACACAGTGGCC